GAAAGAGAGGGGACATTAAATCTCATTTGTCTGTCAGTCTGCCTGTCACAAAAACTTTAACCTTGGCCATAACTTTTGAGTGAGAAGAGATTGGGCTTTTATATTTCACATGTATATTACCTGTAACAAGACCTTTCCAAATATACTGTGAATTTTGATCCCTTGGCTTTGCCTTGAAGTTTGACCTACTTTTCAAAAAAATTAACAATACCTTAAATTTGTCATTAAATTTAAATGAGAAAAGATAGGGCTCTCATATTAAATATGAACATTACCTGTAAGAATACCTTTCCAAATGTACTATGATTTTTGACCCCATGACCATTACCTTGAAGTTTGACCTACTTTCAAAATTTTTATCTTTGCTTATAACTTTTGATTTAGAATAGTTAGGGCTTTCATATTTGACATGTGCATTAGTAGTGACAAAGTGTTTCCGAGCATGCTATAATTTTTTACCCTTTTACCTTGACCTTCATGTTTGTTTGTTTGTTTGTATGTTGTTTAACGCCCCTCTCGAGAATTTTTCACTCATATGGAGACGCCACCACTTGCTGGTGGAGAGCTGCAAATTTTGTCCTATGATCGGCACTTACGGCCATTGAGCAGTGAGGGATCTTTTTCGTGCCAGCATCTACTGCGACACGGGACCTTGGTTTATACGGTCTCATCTGAAGGACCGGTCACCACGTCCCACAGTAGGATTCGAACCCGCGACATAAGGATCGACTCCTTACTTCGCGACTCTAGAGCAGACGCTCTTACCACTGCGCCACGCGGGCGACCCTTCATGTTTGACCTAAATTTCAAAAAAAAATTGTATTTGGTGATTACTTTTGAATGACATATGATATGGTGTTCATATTTGACAAGTGCATTACCTGTGTCAAAATGTTTCTGAATATGCTATGATATTTGACCCTGGGACCTTGACCTTCCAGTTTGACCTAATATTCAAACATTTCATCAGTTTGCTAACTTTTGAAGGAGCAAAGATAGGGCATTCATATTTGACAAGTGCATTACCTGTGACAAGCATTTCCAAATGTACTATGATTTTTAATCCCATGACCTTGACCTTGAAGTTTGACCTAATTTTTAAAGTTTATCATTGCTAATAACGTTTGATTGAGAGAAGATATGGTACGTATTTACATTTGACATGTGCATTACCTGTTTCAAGACCTTTCTGATTGTATACTCTGGTTTCTGATATTTTTTTTTTTACATGTGCATCACTTGTGAGAAGATCTTTTGGATTTTATTATGATATTTGACCTCATGACCTTGATTTTGAATTCTTTGCCATAACTGTTATTAATTCAATAATTTATGTCTTTTTGTATGATGCACAGATAAGACAGGACAAACAAACAAGACAGTTACAATATGCCATAAATAATGGTCTCCCATCCACTAAGACATCGAAAGCGGGGGACCACCATTCTTTGAATTTGCTTGTTGTTTTCAAAACTCAGTTTACAAATGTAAAATATCCAATAATAACATAATACCAGGGACTTATATGTATATAACTACATATACATGTATAGGCATATATATTAGTCCCTCTGATATTCATATATTAAGCATTGAATGGCATTTAAAACACTCTGTAAATTGAAGATTTCATAAAGTATAGAGCAAATTCGGGCTAATTTTTTTTTCAATAATTTGCCTGATTACTATATCTTTTTTACCTTGTAAATTAATCTTGAACCTTTGAATATTCATCAGACAAAAATCTAAATATTTGACATTATATGGTCAACTGTAAAAATTGAGATGAAATTTCATGTCAATTCATGAAAACTGAGAATTTTGAAAAAATATCGAGAAAATTCGGATTAAATGTATTCATTGAATATAAAGGATTTCATGTTATCTTTTCACCAGCTCATTTCATATGAATTAGTCATCAAAAATAAGTAACAACTTTAATTTTATGGTGAAAGATATTTTTTCAGTCAGCAAAATTTATTCATATGCATAAATTTCAAAACTTCTCTGTGTAAAAGTACTATTTTTAGGTCTGACTTTCAAATGACCTTGACTGAAAATCAAGGCCGATGACACCAAAGTGTTTGGATGTTAAAATAGTGTAAACAGTCTGAATATTGAGTGTTCAGAAAATCAAGATTCTGCCATTATAAGAAATATGAGAAGAATCCATCCTTAACACTGGTTAAGATTTGTGTTATGCTATGACCCTCATCTCTTGTTTTTTTTTGGGCCCATGTTTAAACAATAAGAAGAAACGTATATTTTTATGATCTACACTTGTAAACCATATATACTGCTGCACAGTCCACTACCAGTACCATCTTTCATAAAGGAATTACTAATTATTAATATTTTAATCCACATCTGTATGCTCAACAATTTATGTCGATCCCAAAATTTTGGAATTCCCCTTTATGCGTATGTACTCTAATTATAGCAAGTAAGAGGGGTAACTCCATTTTCTTACACACGAGTCGTTTTTTTTTTAAGAAAATTCAAGCGACATAGATCTATTGATTCTGCATATACATGTACATGATTGTAATGCATGCAGAAGTGTTGATACTTACGCATTTACTGCCTCCGCTACTTCCACCCATGCCTCCTCTTTAATTTTCGCATTCTTGACACCCCCCGGCCCTCTCATCTTCCCGAAGAGGCGGTCCTCACGCTGTCGGACCGCCTCAACCAAAACGATTTTTTCTTTCTCTGTCCAATTGGGCCGGCGAGGTGTCTTAGCTACCCTCTCTTCCATTTTTTTGCATTTGTTGGTGTTGCAGACGATTATTTACATTGGATACTATAACCGGAAGTAAGGAGTGTAGTAGATTTCACTTTTGGCTTTCCATAATATTAAAGGTATTCAGATTAATACAGCTCTATCGAGAGATATATTTTGGCTATCGGTGTTCTATTATCAGTCAAGCATGAAAAGTATCTATTGGTCACTTTCACTTCTTTTATTCTTTTGGCTATTTAAATCATGACAAACCTTTATATTATCAGTAGTGTATCTACTCATTGACTAGGTCTAGGGTTGACACCTTTTCCACCTGAATCAGGTATTACATGTTTTTTCATTATTGCATTTTTTTTTGTATAATAAATTGTTGAAACTTTACAAGTTGTTTTATTTAGGGAAAGTTAATCTTGGTCCAGAACAATAATATTTCGGAACGAACCTGGGTAAAAGTGAAAATATTTTAGAGTGTGAAATACAACTCCTACAGGAGTAAGGCCGCTTATGTGACGTTGAAAAAACTCAGTTGAGAAAGAAAATAAACTTAGCTGAGAATTGACTGAGTTTGTTTCGAGAAACGCGATTTGAGAAAAATCTTAGCTGAGTTTTTTCTCAGGATTTGAGATCGAACTTGAGTAAAAACTTAAGATTTTTTCGAGAAATCCAAGCCAGGTGAGCTAACTAGACACCATGTGATATGTTAACTATACAAATAATTGAAGATATTTTGATACATGTCATTGTGATTTAAAAAAAAAAATTAGTCATGCTTTGACTTAAATTAAAACGAAATCTATTGAAATTCACTGTAAAATTTAACAAAAAAAAAAAAAAAAAAAAAAAAAAAAAAAAAAGACTCACAATATGTATTTGTACTTTAAAATTAAGAAAACAAACTCAGCCAATGAAAAGTACTTTTATATCCAGGACCATGAATACATACCCTGTTTTGTCGGAAAACGGCATTCTTTCTTTCTTAATTTCGACTATTCTTTGGAATCTATAGATACTCTTTTGGAATACTGGCACTCTTTGCACTACACCTTGGACTCTAATTTTTCGGACCTCACCTTATAATTATTACTTTTAAGTTTTAGTTCTACGCTCTTTTTAAATATTTGGGACGGATCTTAAACACTTTTGCTATATCAAAGTGTATTTTTCTGTTCTGATGAGATTTCAGAAACTTAGCATTTAAAATCTATACGATCACGGTGGATTAATAAACTTTTTGAAAAAGATACAAACTTTGTCATTGGCTTACAAAAGTTCTCTGAAGCTTAATTTCAGGAATTTTGATCATGAAATATCATAAAATGTCAGATTGGGAATCAATAACATAATTCCACGGGTTTTACTATTATAAATCAAAGTATCAAAGTTTATACTATAGTAAATCAAAGTTTTTACTTTCATACTACAGTTATAACTATAGTAAACTATAGATAACTATAGTATTTTTATTAGGAATGCTCCGCTTTGCGGTCCCCTTGTTGAATCTATACTTATCAATGTAATGAAGTTTTAACATAAGTTTCAACTGTTCTGGTCCAGTGGTTCTTGAAAAGAAGATTTTTTTTCTACATACATATGACATAATATTCCGATATAAAACCTTGAACGCCAGTCCTGGCTCCATGCTACATGTACCCCCCCCCCCCCCGGGGGGGGGGTTCAGGATTTTAACAAATTTGAACCTATACTATTTAATAAAGCTTTCATATAGAATTCACTCCTCTGTCACTGTAGTTCTTTTAAGAATACAATTTTAAAGGTTTTATTCGCATATATTCCTGTGTAAATCTTTGATCACCTGTTAGTAATGGTTTCACCCTATCCACGATTGTCATGGTTTACACAAACTTGAACTATTTTTGGACTTGAATTGTTCTAGCTTTATGCAAAATTTCAGGTGAGTTAAGGCGGTGGAATTTTTCACATCAATTTTTATGCTACAAAGTAATATGTGTACACTAGCGCTTGCAGGGTGGCGGACAGGTCACAGGAGCTGTATCTCCATAAGTACGTACGAGTTACCTCGCGTAACAGCTGTGATATACATGACCCCCCCCCCCCCAACCCGCACCTATCCTCCCCGCCAAAAAAAAGGAACTTTTCACATACCACGGTGTATATAACCTTACAAAAAAACTAAAAGTATTTAAGAAGTTTAATTTAGATAATATCTATCTATTTTAGAATTTACACAAATTATCTACCAATTCCGTTAATGGCGCACAAAAAATAGCTTCCGGTTTTACTTTCATTTTCTAGTCGACATGGCCGCTAAGAGAATCACTTTGCCAGGGACGGATTTGAATGTGTCCAGAATTTGTCTGGGGTGTTGGCAGTTTAATGGGGGTAAAAATACCATCAACTGGGATGCTCAAACACCCGAGGTAGGTGATGCCATCGCCCGGGTTTGTTTAATAATGCTTTAAAATGCAAGTCAAAGAAGATGAACAGTGTCGCCTGGGGCTCGCTAAGGGGGGTTAAAATTGTACAAGGATATTGCTGATAATTTGTTATGTTTTGTTGTAGTTGTCAGCTGTTTATGTCTTAACATAAAAAGTACTCGATTACGTGTAAATCTATCATCAGTAGATAGACTGGTAGAAGGAATATGCTGTGTTTAAATATAATCTTTATTTGAGCACTAATGCTGTTTTGATATAGGTCGAGAAAGTATTTCGCCGTGAACCTCTAACATGCCGGAGCATTTAGTTTCTATATTTAAAACCCTTATTTATGCATATTTTTTTTTGTGCATACAAGAAATTTAAATGTGCATTTGCCCTACATGATTTGACCTAGAAAAGAATGTGACGTTAGGACACTGATAAATGTTGGGCCTGGTTTAAAGGGACAGTCTACATCGGAAGATTGTGTTGTGGCACAGTTACATGTATAATGTATTTCACCTGAGGGGGACTAACAAATGAATATATCAATATATTGAACATGTTGAATATTAATCGAAAGAGTAAGTCACAGTTGAACATGTTGAATTCACTGCTCCTTCAAAATTTTGAACAAAAATATTAAGCATTTGACACAAGTAATTACTTAATTAGTAATTTAAGTAATACATAATTAGTAATTTAAGCAGGAAACGTTAAGGTTTCAATCCATATCCTCCTCATATTTATTGCTTTTGAAATCATAACCTGGTCATGTTCAATATTGATAATAGCAGAAATAAAGTTGATTGTATATTTATCCAAATGGCCTTGAAGTAATGGTTTTGGCTGTGGATATCAGCCTGGGTAGCGCAGTCAGTAGAGCACTTAACTAGTGATGCAGGGGACCTGGGTTTGATTTCAGGTCCAGCCATACATTTTCTCCTTTCCAGTTACAGAGTACAATATTAAACATGCTGAAAATGCACTAAAATTTTTATGCTGTAATCAAGTTGTGCATGTACTGTATGTAGTTTGACAGAATATTATAAACTTATATTTATCATGTTCATAATGTATCAGTCTTATTCCACATGTTCCTAGGCTTATTCTGTACATTTCACCATGTAGAAAATAGATAAATTATCTTGCCCTGTCATATCTCTGAACATACAGAAATAAATCTTGAGATGTGTAAATATTTAACTTGGATGATCCCTTGAGAGGGGTCTCTTTGCAGCCTTTTGACATATCAAATTAGGTCAGTGTTAAGATTAATGTACACATAGTGGTCAGTCATTCACAAAACCTAGAGATAGCAATGCTCAGCAGAATGTTCAAATAGGAAAAAATTGTCAAGTTTCAATGATGTCGATCAATCTCCTAAAATTAAGAGATTAGAACTATTATTTCAATCATTAAAACCTAAGCTTAGTTAAAAATTATTATTATTTAAATATTTTATCATGTTTGAAAAAAAAATTTATTTTTTAAGCAAATAAAAGTGCCTGGTTGTTTGATATTATAATAAATAAAGGCAAAAAGTAAAGATTGAAATTTCAAATACTAATACATGTATCTTAATCATGTTTTTCATGTCTACCAAAAATAACTTCAGATCATATCCTTATCCATATCCTGATGCTGTTTTATAATTAGGTCAATGCTACCAGAAGTAGATATCTGAATTTCAGCATTGCAGTTTAAAGCAATAAAAATGCCTTATGTAATCATTTGATCATAATATTTCATTTATATGTATAATTTGAATAATTTAACCAATTTTCCTTGCTCATTTTTCAATTTTTTTACTGAATAGAACCTCATTGACACTCTGATGCTAGTAGGTCAACACATGGTCAATGGCTCAATGCTGATTTTAAGTAGATCAATGCTAGTTTTATCCTTTGCTGATGCTGATCCTGGCAATGCTGTTTTTCGCTCACCTGAGCCGATGGCTAAAGTGAGCTTTTCTGATCGAAATTTGCCCGTTGTCGGTTGTTGTCGTCGTTGTAAACTTTTCACATTTTCATCTTCTTCTCAAGAACCACTGGGCCAATTTCAACCAAACTTGACACAAAGTATCCTTGGTTGATGGGGATTCAAATTTGTTCAAAGGAAGGCCCACACCCTCTTCCAAGGGGAGATAATTGCGAATTTGTGAAAAATTTATGGCATCTTTTAAAAATATTCTTCTCAAGAACCACTGTGCTAGAAAATATGAAACTTATGTGGAAGCATCCTCAGGTAGTGTAGATTTAAGTTTGTTCAAATCATGACTCTCGGAGGTAGGGTGGGGCCACAGTGGGCGATCAAAGGTTAACTTTACATAGCAATACATAGGGAAAATCATTAAAAATTTTCTTCTCAAGAACAGCAAAGCCTTGATTGGTCATATTTATATGGAAGCATCCTCAGGTAGTGTAGATTCAAATTTGTTCAAATCATGACCGCCGGGAGTAGGGTGGGGCCACAGTGGGCGATCAAAGTTTTACATAGCAATACATAAGGAAAATCTTTAAAAATCTTCTTCTCAAGAACAGCTCAACCTTGATTGGTCATATTTATATGGAAGCATCCTGATAGATACAGGTGAGCCTCATTACTCTGGACAAATCTGAGCAAATTGTCTGGAATAATGAAGCATCCTGATGGTGGAAAGAAATTTCTGCTGATTCAAGTACCGGTACATAGCAATACTTTTTAAAATGTCTTGCATATACATATATATTAGTGATGGGAAATCAGGATTTTTTTCATAATCGATTATCGGAAAAATCTGATTCACTATATTCGATTAAAAATTGATCAATTTCAAATAGTATATTTGTTCATTTTGGAATGAAGAATAAATTGGTTAGAAATTCTGCAGTGATTTCTAAATTATATTTTTGAAATATTTTGTATCATTGGGTTCATTTGTAAGGTTATTATTTAGGATTTAGTTAGATTCAAAGAAGAATGAATCAAAAATCAAAGGAATAATTTGCTTTTAACTAATATTTTGAGTAATCGATTATCAAAAGTATAATCAATAATCTATAATCGGGGACCATTTCAATTAGATAATGGATTTAATCCATTAATCGGTACATCACTAATATATATAAATAAAAACTAAGGAACATTAAGAAATGTGCTAAATCAAATCTTCGCCAACTTGTTAAAAATCAATTTCCACCATATATAGGACATGCTAAATATTATTAAATTACAGTATTACTTATATAATTATATGTATATGTGTTCTTTTGTTTTAGGAATCTAGAGCAATAGTGGACAAATGTTTTGAGATTGGTGTAAACTTCTTTGACACAGCAGAGGTGAGGGGCTTAGTAATTAAATTCAGCAGTTATATTTTTTTTAGGTTTCAAGAAGAGATCTGCCTTATCAGTATATTATGTATACATACAGTAATCATCATGGTAAAATAAGCTTTTTCATGTTTATAATGAAGTGCCAGGAACCAGCAATATTGATTTGTTATAAACCTAATTTGTTCAGTTTGTATCTGTTAAATTCATAATAGGTTTTGAAAATAAGGGAAATAAAAATGGCTTCGCTTTAAGTGTGATTTCATTATAAGCGTGTTTGCTATAATGGTATTGCTCATCTGACATCATAAACTAGCACAATCAATTACTTCTTTCATTTTTTGATGTACCCTTATTTTATAATATTATACTTTCATGTAAATTAGTTGAATCTGATTCGTCACGAAACATTTGTTAAAAAACACTATTACCCGCTGAATGATGAAGCCACGCTCTCCAGCGTAGCAACAATCAACGTTGCTTGACGACGGGTGATATTCCCAAAAATAGTGACTGCCCAGAATTTATGCGTGCATGGTTCACTGTTATATGTATTTATATAAAACATTCAGTATAATATAATAATTATTGCATGTAGTTGAGTGTAACATTGAAAATTTTCACCCCACGAAAACCTTTGTCAATCCGAGGCGCAGCTTTAAATGAATCAGGTACACTAAGACTGGGTACTCGGTGATTTAGTTTCTATATAATTTAACAAAATATTCCAGAATATGAAATTGTTGTACGACAAAGCTAGTAAAGCTACAATTATTGCACAAATATTGGTATCACAGTAACAGTAGTTAAATTTAAAATTTTTTTAAATCTGACAAAAAATCATATCTTGACTGAATTTATTTTGTATATATTTTTGAGTTTTTTTATGTAAAGAATGAATCCATTTTACTGCAATATTATAATGCATATAACAGCTGTATAATGAAGTATGGTACAAAGTATTTCAATTTGATTCTTAGACTAACAGTCTTCCACTCTTCTCCAATGTTAGGACAAAATAGGACTTTCATGCAACTGCATGCAATGAATGTACATCAACTATTAAAATCCTACAAAAATGGCTTTAGCTTAAAAGTTTTTACAATTTTTAGCTCACCTGAGCCGAAGGCTCAAGTGAGCTTCTCTGATAGAAATTTGTCCTTTGTCATCATTGTAAACTTTTCACATTTTCATCTTCTTCTCAAGAACCACTGGGCCAATTTCAACCAAACCTGACACAAAGTATCCTTTGGTGAAGGAGAGTCAAGTTTGTTCAAATGAAGGGCAACGCCTTCTTCCAAGGGGAGAAAATTACGAATTAGTGAAAAATTAATAGCATCATTTAGAAATCTTCTCAAGAACCACTGTGCTAGAAAATATGAAACTTATGTGGAATCATCCTCAGGCAGTGTAGATTAAAGTTTGTTCAAATCATGACCCCCAAGGGGCAGGGGACGGGTAGGGTGGGGCCACAGTGGGCAATCAAAGATTTACATAGGAAAACATGGGAAAAATCTTCTCAAGAACAGCAAGGCAGTGATTGGTCATAATAAAATAAAAACATCCTCAGGTAATGTAGATTCAAATTTGTTCAAATCATGACCCCTCAGGAGTATAAAGGGGCCATAACAGGGGATCATAGTTATACAAAGGAATATAAAGGATATATCAATAAAATTTTTTTCTTAAGAACAGCAAAGCCATTAGTCATATTAATTCAAAAGCATCCTTAGGTGGTGTAGATCGATTCAAGTTCGTTCAAATCAGCATTCCCCTCCCCCATCCCCCCTGAAACCACTTTTATATTTTATATTTAAACTTCAATACTGAACTGATTTCTGCTTTTTCCTAGTGAAAGTGCTCAGGTGAGCGTGATGTGTCCCATGGGCCTCTTGTTAAATTTGAAATAAAAGACACTTGTTTTACAAAGATGGCTGTGCTAATGTACTGCAGATGTATTCATTTTTGCCTGGAATTAACTGATCCAAATTTTGTCATCGTACTGTGGACATTCCCATCATGTTGATAAATTTTTCATATTGGAAATATGTAAATGTAGTATTTCCCAAACACTAATTTACAATATTGAATTACAGTAATCTATAAGATTTTTATGTGACTTAATGGTTAAGTTAAAATATAATGAATTTTAAATTTTTAAAATTTTTATGTGACATAGGGGTATGCTGGTTCAGAGGAGGTCCTGGGGGCGTGTCTGGAGGGACGTCGACAGGATGCAGTCATTGCTACTAAGTTTGGATTCCGGGAGGGACCCAATACTCCTCCTTACTCCCCCCAGCAGATCGACGAAGCTGTCACGCGGAGTTTAAATAAACTGAAGACATCTTATGTTGACCTGCTGCAGGTAACAACAAAAGTTTATTATACATAAGAATGGCATACAGTACATATTTATACTGTCTTTAAGACTATTTCTATCATTCTTCCTAATTATATCATTTTTTTTTAAAAATTGAAGGGGGTGTAAGATTTTTTTTACTTTGCTTTAAGATCTATCCTTAGACAGACAGATCTCTCTGGGTCGTATCAAGTATTATGGAGATCTATCCTTACTCTGCTCTTTCATTTAACAATGAACTTTTCACTAATGATTTTTCCTCAGTATACAGATGTACAGTATCAGACATACATCTCATTCATTATTAAAATGCATACAATTTCAAGATACATGTATCCTAAAAAAATGATAGAAATTGCCTTTTATCTTGTCAATTAAAAAAAAAAAATAGTCATTCATCCATGTAAGATCTAGAGTTATCTCTCTTTTCAAAGTGTCATTGAACCTTAATAACCAAGATTATGAGCTGATTGAAAAAAAGTGTCTCAGAAGAGCAATTGGATTTTTGTTTTGTTCAAGTCCTTGTTCAAGTCCTTGTTCAAGTCCTTGGTCAAGTCATTGTTCAAGTCCTTGTTCAAGTCATTGTTCAAGTCCTTGTTCAAGTCCTTGTTCAAGTCATTGTTCAAGTCATAGCAGAGATTGTAAGAAGCTAACCTGTACTCTTGTAAGTTGCATCATAAGGATGTCATGCTAATATTTAAAATCCACTCATTGAAGGTTACATGTACCTTGAATGGCAGTTTTAGTTCATTTGTGATTTCATCTGAGTATTTTGTTGATTAGGAACAAGTCCCTTTTTGCCAGTTTTTAGCTCACCTCAACGAAGTTGAGGGGAGCTAATGTGATATCCTTGTCACCAGCGTCCCAAGTTAAAGTTTTTGGTGTAGTTTTCTTTTCTAAGTACTTTATGCCCTACATTAATCAGAGATGCATGGAAGATGCTTCTAGTGTGTTTCATTGTACCAGTCAAGGTTTCAGATGGTGCAATTTCAGCTAAGGAATGACCAGGTCAATGTTTTTGGAGCAGGTTAAAGTTTTTGGAGCAGGTTCATTCCCAAGTAACTTATAAGCCCTATGTTGACCAAACTTGCATTGATGATGCATCTAAGGATGCACACTGACACGCTTGCTCAGATGCTGGATCTGACCTAAGATTCCAGATGAGTGAACAAGTTAAAGTTTTGGATGTAGGTCTTTTACTATTAAACTATAAGGCCTATCTGAACCAAATTTGCTTGGATGATTCATTAAGGGATGAACACACTGAAACTTTTTTAAGATGCTGGATTTTAATTATATTTTCTAGATGAGTGACTAGTTTGAAGTTTTTGGTTAAGTTGCATCCTGGGATGTACTCTACTAGATTATTAGTCTTTTGTGGCCGGGACTTTGCCTTACTTAAAGACAACATTCGTTGAAGTGAGCTCTGTAATCTCTGATAACCTATTAGGGATGCATGAGTATCACCAAAGGTTTCATTTCGCTATATATCACAATTTTTTTACCACGATAATATCATGATATTTTTACAAGCAACTTTTACAATGATTTTAGATGAATATTCATAATTTTTCCAAAAAAAAAATGCAGGAAAAACATAACTGCACTCTTTTCATTTTTCTTATTTACATAATATCAAGCAATTTTGGATGCTAGCTAGGATTCTGTTCTTTTACAGTTTTCAACATTTTCTACACTTCCTGTAAATGTAATTTGAAAGATTAAACAAATAAATGAATAATTTCTGGAAATTTTAACTACGGAAATACCGGTATTTTAGTCTCTGTATCATGATACCTATCACGCAATTTAAAGTCACGATATACTGGTATACATGTACCGATAAAATCGCACATCCCTATTACCAATGGTTTGTTGATTATGAGCAGGTTCACTTTGCCAGTTTCTTAGAGAACATGGAAGAATCTGTTAAAGAACTAAACAGACAGATCTCTCTGGGTCGTATCAAGTATTATGGAGTATCTAACTTTGGACCCATCAACATGAAGAACTTTGTGGAAGCCGGAGGAAAACCAGTCACAAACCAGGTTAGTGTGTCAATATTTAAACCAGTCACAAACCAGGTCAGTGTGTCAATATTTAAACCAGTCGTCAACCAGGTTAGTGTGTCAATATTTAAACCAGTCACAAACCAAGTTAGTGGGTCAATATGTAAACCAGTCATAAACCACTTTAGTCTGTCAATATTAAACTGTTCACAAACCAGGTTAGTGTTTCAAATGATCCCATATTTCCAACTGTTGTTAATGTCCAGGCATATCCAACATATTAAACAGTGATTTCTGACATTTGTAGATCAGTTACAGTTTATTTTGGAGGTTGGTGTATATTTATACATGTATCAGTGATTTCTTTCATCGTTTATTGTAGATCGGTTATAATTTGCTGTGGAGGTCGGTGGAAAATGAAGTGATCCCCACCTGTAAGAAGTATGGAGTCAGTATCCTGGCTTATTCCCCTTTACAGCAGGGATTGCTCTCTGGGAGGTTCCTTAAGGTGGACGACGTCCCCCTCGGAAGACGAAGAGGGAAACTCTTCTCTCCAGAGAGGTAGATTTAGTCAGCTCTAGGGTTTATTTAATGTACGATTTCCTGAATGGTTAGCGTAGCTCTGCATATGTACTTACTTCAATCAAAAGAATTCAGATTTTTCAAGAAAAGCAAATTACTTAATACAAGTATATAAGAATTTTCAACCAAACTGTGACGGAAAACAGTAGAAATTAGAAGTTAATGTTAAATCCTTTTGATGATTTTATTTCGAGTTTCTTTTTAAAAATTAAATTTTTAAATATCTTTCTGTCAATCTCCTTCTATTGACAAGCCTATAAGGCATGTAAAAAATTTTTTAAACAAATTCTATGATTTCATAATTTTTTTTTCAAATTTAGTGAAAATAATATTCAGTCAATGATGTGTGTATTTTTCAGTTGTCATCTAGCAAGACATGGACAAGAGGGTGCTGAAAAAGAAGTATTTGAGGTATTTAGACTGACCACTCATGTTAGAATGGATGAAATTTGACTGAGTAGTAGATATAATTTACAGATACTATAATTATACATTCTGTCATACATCTAAAGAGCTTTCTGAAGGTCATTCATTTACTGAACATTTACTGTAAGCCAACTTTTATTCATGTGTGAGAAGTATAATTGAGGTTCGCAACTTTGATTTACTCACAAATATTTCTCGTCACAAACTAATTATTCCTTCATTATTTATATAGAATATTTCCTTAGTTGCAAAAATTAGTCGTCACTGATAGATAATGATTTCAAATGGAAGATCACAAATAAAAAGCTTTGCATATAATACTTGGGTTTACATTATTCATATTACCAAAAATAAAAAAAAAATGTTCATAAAAATGCACAATGGGTGTTTAAAATTACATAGAAACAAGACATACTGACAGAAATGCATGATTTTCATTGGTTAAGTAAAATGGTGAGTAAATTTCACCAGTCAAACTCAATAAACTGTATAAACACATCTTTTAATATCCATCTGATTAGGGTCTGGGTCAAGGTACATTACATTATTTTCATATTTTCAGGCAATAGCTAAGATGAATGATATATGTAAAAAGGCCAACGTTCCTATGTCTAAGGCTGCATTATCCTGGCTGCTTAACCAGCCGAATGTCCCTGTAGCCATAGTGGGAGCTAGGACTCCAGAACAAATGGTGGAAAACTGTGAAATTATTGACCTACCTCAGGTAAATTACAGCCTTACCCTCCAGATAGGAAATACATAAAATTGTCCATCTCCCCAAGGTAGTAGTGAAACCATTGTCCTACCTCAGGTACAGCCCCACCCCCCAGACAGGTAATGCATAAAATTGTCAATCTCCTTAAGGTAGTACATGTAATGAAATTATTGACCTACAATAGATAAATTACAGCCCACCCCCCAGACCGGTAATGCATAACATTGTTCATCTCCCCAAGTTACAATGTAGTAGTGAACTCATTAACTTGAATTTCTCCATCCTCTTTCAAATGTCCATCTTTCAGGTAGTGCATAAAAATCGTCCATCTCTGCACAGTAGTAGTGAAATTATTGAATTACATCAAGTAAATTACTTCAAATTCTCCATCCTCTTTAAATTGTCCATCCCTCAGACATAATACTAGTGATTGATCCACCTCAGTATAATTACATCAAAATTGTCCATATCCCAAAGATAATCCCAGTGAAATTTTAGATTAACAAATTAAATTTCAGATTTTCATTCAATTTATTTTTTTAATGAACTTGTTTTAAAATTGCATATTTGAATAATGTCCAAAAATAGACAATGTGATGAAAATTTTGTTTTTGTATTCAGTGTTATATTTATTCAAATATTATTTTGATAAGTCTATTTTTAAATCAAGGTCCTTATAGATGGAGACGTCGTGTTTCACCGTAACTGTTTTGCGTCTCCATCAAAATGTTGAATTTACTTAATATACTGTACATGTACCCTCACAGTTACAACAAAAAGAGATGAAGTTTATGTATAGCTTATTCTTTGTGGATTTAACTCAGATTATTAATTGTTTTTAAGAATTAACAGAAATTATTGTCTTATAGAATTAATATTATAAAATATTTATTATTAATTATTAATATAATAAAGTTAATATTATTATTTGTCTTGAATAATTAATCAAAATTATTAACAATTAACAAAAACTATTAATTATCTTGTAGAATTAACTAGAATTATTAATTATCTTGTAGAATTAATTCAATTTATTAATTATCTTGTTGAATTAACTTGAATTATTAATTATCTTGTAGAATTAATTCAATTTATTAATTATCTTGTAGAATGTCATCCAGGAGCTGACTGATGCTACAGAGGCTGTGAAGAAGAAGATAGGGAACTCCATCGACCAATGGGCTCACCCCGACCGCTGTGAATGATTGGACTCTATATATAGTCTAGCACTCGGGAAATTCTTAATCATTTTATGTTTACGCAGTTTAGTTGTATAGGTAGAGGGAATTCTGAATGGCATTTGAGTTGTAATGAGCAGTATTATTTACATCTGATTGTTAAACCAGTAAATTTAAGATTTGTGATTAAGAATTTATATTTTAATTTTTTTTTACAATATACATGTAGTAATTGGACTCAACTTGTGCACTTGTACATGTTAATGTAGAAAACTGAATCATGAAGAAATTGGGTTTTCTAATTTTTAAGAATGAAAAAAATTGTTTCCTTTTAATAAGTAGGCTAATTAGCTGGGAATCATTCATTGATTTTGGTGATGTTATAAATGGATTGTAATTTTTCAATGTTGATCATTAAGAATATTGAAATGAATAAATGTGATTTAATTGTCAAGTGAAGTGTTCATATCGAATTATGTGAATCCCTCAACAAGGGACAGTAACTCTTGATACACTGAATACTTATTTTAATTAGTCCCAAAATGGCTAGATTTACTTGTATAAAAAAATTATTTTATGCATACTTTTAATAGGGTCCATATTAATCTCAACACTTTTAAACATTTTTAGTTTGAGTTTACTCAGGTGACCTATTGCTATCCGTTTTTGTCTGTCGTCGTACGTCGTTCGTCGGTCGTAAACTTTTGGACATTTTTAGCTTCTTCTCTGGAACCGCTCAACCAATTTCAGCCAAATTTGGTATATAGCATCTATGGGTGAAGGGGGACAAAAATTTTGAATTTCATGGTCCCTGCCCCCCTGGGGCCTGAGGGGTGGGGCTAAAACCACCAAAAATAATGCAATCTTTAAAAATCTTCTTCTGTACTCCTGGACATCAAGCAGTCAAACTGTTGACATCATTGTAATAAGCATTGAGCCTTCTACCAAAATTGTGAAATTCATGGCCCCAGGGTCAGGGGTTCTGGCCCCAGGGTGGGGCTATATAGATCATATAGTGAAAGTGCATTATTTCTTTGAAAATCTTCTTCTCTGCTCCTGGGTATTAAATAAAGTTACTAAGTAAATTAATGTACATAGTTATGATGAGCAAGAGTGCCTCTTCCAAAATTGTGAAATTCATGGCCCCAGGGTCAGGGGTTCTGGTGTTAGGGCGGGGCTCTATTGATTATATAGTGAAAATGCATTATTTCTTTGAAAATCTTCTTCTCTGCTCCTGGGTATTAAATAAAGGAACTAAGTACATAGTTATGATGAGCAGGAGTGCTTCTTCCAAAATTGTGAAATTCATGGCCCCAGGGTCAGGGGTTCTGGTGTTAGGGCGGGGCTCTATAGATTATATAGCGAAAAAGCATTAATTCTTTGAAAATCTTCTTCTTTGCTCCTGGGTATTAAATAAAGTAACTAAGTACATAGTTATGATGAGCAAAAGTGCCTTTTCAAAAATTGTGAATTTCATGGCCCCAGGGTCAGGGGTTCTGGTGTTAGGGCGGGGCTCTATAGATTATATAGTGAAAATGCATTAATTCTTTGAAAATCTTCTTCTCTGCTTCTGGATATTAAATAAAGTAACTAAGTACATAGTTATGATGAGCAAGAGTACCTCTTTCAAAATTGTGAATTTCATGGCCCCAGGGTTAGGGGTTCTGGTGTTAGGGCAGGGCTCTTTCGACTATATGGTGAAAATGCATTAATTCTTTGAAAATCTTCTCCTCTGCTCCTGGGCATTAAGGTGATAAACTAAGTACATGGTTATGATGAGGAGGTGGGCCTCCTCCAGAATTGTGAAAGCCATGGCCCCTGGGACAGGGGTTCTGGAGTTAGGGCGGGGCTATATTGATTATATAGGGAAAATGCTTTAATTCTTTGAAAATCTTCTCTGCTCCTGGGTATTATTTAAACAAACTAAGTACATGGTTATGATGCATAAGGATGCCTTTTCAAAAATTGTGAATTTCTTGGCCCCAGGGTCAGGGGTTCTGGTGTTAGGGCGGGGCTCTATTGATTATATAGTGAAAATGCACTGATTCTTTGAAAATCTTCTCTGCTACTGGAGATTATATAAACAAACTAAGTGCATGATTATGATAGACAAGGATGCCTCTTCCAAAATTTTTAAATATATGGCCTCAGTTTTTGGGGTTCTTGGGGGGGGGGGGGGGGGCTCTATTGATTATATAGTGAAAAAGCATTAATTCTATTAATCATTAATTAATCCTGTCTGCTCCTTAGTGTTGAGCTGATAAATAAATTGCTTAGCTATGATGAAAATGGGAGCTTCGAACAGAATTTTTAAATCTTGTGGTCCTAGGGTCAGGGGTTCTGGCATAACGAAGGGGGGGGGGGGGCTTTTGATAATATAGTGGAAAATTGTTCATTCTTTGAAGTCCATAGTTATGATGATGAGGGTAACTCTTCCAAATTTGTAAATTTCTTGACCCTTGGTCTTGGGTTCTGGTGTTAGGGTAAGGCTTTGTTGAATCTGTAGTGAAAATGCATTGTACCTGTGAAATTCTTCTCTGCTTCTGGGCATATTGGAAGCAAACTGAGTAAAAGTTTAAATGATATGAGTAAGCGTATTTCTACCAGATTTTTAAACATCTGGACCATTGGTCTAAGCATTCTGGTCCTGGGCAGGGCTCTATTAATTTGTATTCTACTGAGAGAAGTTATTCCCCTTTTCCATTCACCTTTGATAATTAATCATTGTAAATAATGTATTTGAAAGGTTAATAGAATAAGATAATTATGCAAGAATGTTTATCGTATAATTAAAAAAGTACTTTCTTAGATTTAATAAACAGGTGGACCTGTAAGTAATAGATAAATAAAAATGAGACAAAAATAACTTATCTTATTAAAAGTTCTTCAAAGACCATAAGAGAGGTCAATGCTAGGGGTCTTAATATGGGTTTATAAATAGTACAGAAGCACTAGTCAAATAGTTTGTTAATAGTCTGCATAGTGTTAAGTGGGGGACAGATTAGAACTTAATTTATGAGTTGATACTGAATACTTTCTACTTCTCTTGCTTTAGGGCAACATTAAGCTTCAACTATCAGTGTATTTAACTTCTAAATTGTTGTATCATACTCAGGTGACCATTAAGGCCTTTGGGCCTCTTGTTGTAAAATAAGGTTTATATTTGAAAATCAAATTTAAAATTTCCCTTTAGGTCGTCTTTTTTTTTTAAAAAAATTTAAAGCTTCAATTCTTATTTTTGTGAATCACTCGCTTGACCCATCTGTTTTTGTCAAACTAAATCATGTACATTGTACATAATACATTACAGTCGCCCGCGTGGCGCAGTGGTTAGAGCGTCTGCTCTAGAGTCGCGGAGTAAGGAGTTGATCCTTACGTCGCGGGTTCGAATCCCACTGTGGGACGTGGAGACCGGTCCTTCGGATGAGACCGTATAAACCGAGGTCCCGTGCCAGCAGTAGGTGCTGGCACGAAAAAGATCCCTCACTGCTCAATGGCCGTAAGTGCCGAGTATAGGACAAAATTTGCAGCTCTCCATCGGCAAGTTGTGGCGTCTCCATATGAGTGAAAAATTCTCGAGAGGGACGTTAAACAACATACAAACAAACAAACATTACAGTCAGCAGGCGCGGATCCAGGAATTAAAGTCAGTATGTACGTTCATTTCTCATCATTGACAACTAATGCTAGCTGAAAGGAGAATAATATTATATGGGAGATCACACGTTACAAAATACCTTTACGACCCACTTATTGCACAGGCACTTGTTTCGGTAATAATTTTATAACCCATAGTATAATAATAAGACAAGGTATCCAACTCCGAATTACATGGAGTAACCCTCCCCCTCCCCAGTTTCGCACTCATTTACGCTTTAGAGGAAATGCACTGGTATACTTGTATTACCATTGTCTTCTACGATAATTTATCTACACAACCATATATGGCATGCTTGTATTTATTTTCTTTTATCTCGGTAAACAGCGTCAAAACTCTGCTAGCCTTGTGAAAAGCCGAGTTGGTACAAAGCACCCTTGGGTAAAGGGGAGTTTAAATTGTTAAAATGAAGGGTCTAGCCCCCTTACAAGGGGAGATAATCAAGAAAGGACAAAAATAGGGTAGGATCATTAAACAAGATGCCCATGGGCCACATCGCGCACCTGAGCACTGTGGCTAGGAAAAAATCCCATGGGCCTCTTGTTTCTAAAAATCTTTCTGGATTGATGTAAAGGAGTTGTGCTGGTGCAGACACCGCTTGAGAAGTTTTTTTAACATAATTACCGTTGGATAAAGGGAGCACACCTTAAAGCTTTAAGGTCGCCTGTAACAATCCAAATGTCCGTATATGTTTAAGGATGAAATCAAGGATAATCCTTTTTTTTATTGAAAATGTTCGTGAAACAGAGTTTGAAATGGAACTACATTTTAAGAAGACAAAAAGTTGATAAAAAAAGATATTGGCGTTTCTTGTTTCATGCTCTGAAATAATAATAAAAAAAAAGATAAATAAAAAATTGAAATGACGTGGTTTACGTGGAGTTTTTTCTCTCATCAAAGGTTGGAACTACGGATCTTGACTATTTTGAGTCGTTTTAAGGAAAACTTCAATATTGATAATTTTAAACACCCTATAACAGCCAAAATCTATATTAACTGGGTTATGCGTATAGTTTAGACTTAATTGTTTTAGCCGTGATTATTATGACCTCCATTGCAGTGAATAAGAGGTAAATCATTGTTCGGCGGGAAAAAAAATAGATGTATGTCCTTAAAATTCAAACACAGAGTAATGTAATGATAAATAGTTTTAATTTATTATTATATATAACAATATGAAAGACAGGCGTTTTTAATTTCTTTTTTAAGTTTGTCAACATCAACAATCCTTTTTAAGTTACTTAAAATATTATTACATGTAACTTAGATCGCTTTCTCCCCTTGTATCCATAGGTACATTAAGATTGAGATCACGTGATCACTGAGTTGATAGTGATTGGTTCTCTGTCATGTATTTAAATTTAATCCAGTCCTCCTCGTTATAAAACATCAGAGATTCCCGCGGAATAGCTGGCGAGTCTTGATCGTGAAACCATTTGTTTCCCGCTGGCAGGAAGTACCCAGAACCCGACCACTTCTTGGTCCAGGCATTTTCGCGCCACGGAAGTAGTGTGGGGACCGGAACTCCCGTAAAAGCTTCCGGTTTACCAGACATAGTGATTCCTGAAATAGAAATTAATAGTAAGCCTTGCTCAAAATCAGTCCATTTTCTTTTTAAACCTGCCACACATAGAGGTAAAATTACAACACATGTTACACAGGTCAACGTACTTTTTCAAAGCTCAAGTTTTTGCGTACAAAAGAAACTGGTTATACTTTTAATTAGTTTGAGCAACATAGTGTAAAAACTTAAGCAAAGCTTCATGTTAATCTCAATTATGTCTACTAGACTAAGTGTAATATCATGATAAAAGAGCGCGCCTTAATTCCTTTTGTTCAAGATGCGTGGCAATCCATTTTTTAGGACAGACATGCCTTTAATTTAATTGTACATAGCTGATATAGTCTTCGGCGACAATGGTGAATGTCATTTCCAACTTTTGGATCACCATAAGATTTTTAAGCTTTTGCTTTATTCTGTGATAATTATGATTTAACTGTAAATTTTACCACAATTTTCTATCGAGCTATATGTAAGAAATCTAAAAGAAACACGTGTACCCTGATCAGATTCTTTTTGACAACTTTAAAACCTTTGCAGCAGTTTGTTATATACATTTATCGATGTATTAACATAAAAAGAACAGATAATAAGAGACTGTTATCCCCGTCACCATGTTCACTGTTCTGGATTAACTGGATTCTGGATTAACTGACTGGCGACCTAATGACCAAGCATAATTGTATGTATAAACTTTGAAAACGTGATTTTTTAGGTTTGAGTATTTTCTTTTCTAGAATATTTAACAAAAAGCTAGTTTCTTTTTTGGAGAAGGGGGGATTTTCAAAACACTGTATCAACATATTTTATATCCTTTGCCTTACCCCCGGGCTGGGTTTCCCTGTCCCTCTGTCTTTGGTACGCTACCCATTGCTCTTCAGACTCCATTAGGATAGCGTCCCTCTTTGTTTCTCGGGGGAGTGAGCGATATTCATGGAATTTTATCCAGCGGTTCTCTGACGGGACGTAGTAGGCGGGGCCTCTGTACACGTGAGACTTTCCGTCCCCCGCCAGGTAGTTGTGGAGGGGCGTGGCGTTATATGGACCTCTTAGTCTGACCTCAGTTCCCGCGCTTGTCCCATACTCAGGTCGGTACATCGCGGCTGATCCTGACAAAAAATAAATAAATAAATAAAATTGATCAGAAATGAAATAACAAAATGAACTTAAAGATATCCGATCCTCAGCCAGGAAGGATAACTCTTAAAATTATTATTTAATTAAAAAAGTCTCAAGCTTGAAATTGAAAAAAAATCATGCAATAATTTTCATTGTATGCGTCTTAATATGATTCAATGTTCTTTGAAGTCCTAAAAAGGGACTTGTAAAAAAAAGTTACATAAATTTACCCTATAATAGTAAAAAATAAACATGATAAATATACAGTTTTGGAGAAATTGGATTTTTTTAAATCTAGCCTTAGAAATCAATTTAATGCTTATTAGCAAGATATGAAATTAGACGTGATATGTGATGTGATGTCTTGCAGTGATAGCACAAGCTTTTTACACTATGTATTATAAAATAATTGAAGGAAGTACAAAATCTAGAATACTAAATAAATATACAAAACATGCCAATTTCTACGAAATCAATGCCTTGATGCCTATTGATAGATTTTTAATTTAAAATATATTCGTCGATCAATTTTCAATTAGAAAATGCATAGTTGATGGTTCTATACACTTTTCTTGAATATATATATGGGAGATTTCATAATTTTTCCCTTTATCATATGATTAACTATAATGATTATTTTTGAAGAAATACTGTGGGTAAATATACATTACTTTGTGAATTCAGAGATATTTTTGTGAGAATTTTCAATTACTTAAAACTTTTTGATTTTATGAACCTGAGGATCGGACTACCTCAAAGTTGACAATTAATTCCTCATTAGTAGTATAGAACTATCTCGAGTACTTATTATGTTAACCTCTGCGGTGCCCATTTAAAATACCATTCTTTATTTATAAACTACCGGTATATATACAATCATGAATATTGTAACGATGATTAATCAGTAATATCATAATGTGAACAAAGTTAATTACATCTACCATACACGGTGAAAAAAAAATGCCAAAGCTGCTCTTTCAGTGTATAAATATTTCAACACTTTTTTTTTAAATTGGTTGATGCAGTTCATTTTTTTTTTTATTATTATTATTATTATGGAGCACTGAAGTGTCAAAAATGAAACGATCAACCCCTCTTTTTTCAAAGTATACACTTCATAATGACCATGTAAATACCACAAGATCACATAATTAACTGTATAGATGATATCAGTTAATTAAACAGTATAAGAAGATAAGACAAAGTAAGACATATTCACCGTTTTAAATGCAATGGTGTTTCGGTTGTGTCAATATCGCATTACGCACTTGGACATAACCGGATGTTTACATCTAGATACACGCTTGGTAACCGGATCAATACACCTGTGTATTTATTTACGTCCATCTCAGGTAGGAATTTTAAACGGACACTTTGTCCTGTATGTTAATTGGTACTTATAAGATTTCTGTATATGACACTCATGAGTTCATTTCCATTTTTCTTGTTAATTTTCATTTTAGACTTCCTGTAACTTTTCCCAGTACATCGTTTACCTGGGAAGTACCGTAACTCTGATACTCTAGATACATATTTTTCATATCACAACAAAGTTAATTGTTGGAACGTTGAGTACATTTGTTTAAGGAATATGGAAAGGCGGCACTGAAGATCAGGGATCATGTACGAATTCGTACTTTAACTACTGGACAATTTCTAAATCATGGACCAGTTAAGATTCCGAAAGAGGGGTCGGGAGGGGGTGTTTGACTATTTTCTTTTAAATACATGAAGCTGTGTCAAAGCATGGAAAGAACTTTATAACCCCCCCCCCCCATTGATGTGCAAAATAAATGTAATGATATTCAGAAATTTAATATGAAAGACGTAGGTTTACAGGAGCACCATAATACACTCCCTTTCTTTTAAATAAACACAGAGGTTTTGAATTCATTTCTGCTATTTTTTTTTTCATTAATGACTAACAATTAATATGAATTAGAACAACAAAATTAACATTCTATATATATATATATATATATATATATATATATATATATATATATATATATATATATATATATATATATATATATATATATATATACTGTAAATCATATATCCGACTGACTCAGTTTGATGTGTTCACGGTACAATATAATTGTTTCTTATCTTGATCCCCACACATCCCATCCCACATACTCAAAAATAAACGATCACACATTCTAAATTAGAAGTTCTGGTCCAGTTGTTACCTTGGTTGCTTCCAAAATTCAAAGGGAGAAGGAGATCTTATATATATAAGAAAGTAAGGGTCTGGGCAGATTTTAGGAGTCTACTGAATCATTATAGGGGGTTGTCATAATATAAAAGTTGGTATTTTTACGACCATCCGCTAAATTCAAAATTGAAAATTTGCTTCAAGACGTAGAGATCACTTGTAGAAAGTCCAAGAAAAAGTGGTGTAGGGAAATTATTAATCAGAGTGATAGCCCTGTTGTTTTCCAGAATTTAGAATAATCCCAAAAATTTTCCTACATAATTAATCTATGATCCCTTATCGTTGTTTTACCCTATTCCTGGGCCCAAGGATTGAAACAAAGTTTACTATATTATGCATTGCCCTACAGTAGTTACGTTTTAGTATCCCTGATGACTGCCCTGTTGTAGTTTGGAAGAAAATAGCCGTCTGTAACCTGGGTATGTCAGTTAAAAAAAATTGAAATCCGACATTTATGTTGCGGTTATGTTTTTTTTAATCGTTGAAAGATAAATAAAGAATCAAAACAATGAGTAATAATATTTTGTTAATTAACGGATACCATGCTTTTAGAGGGGGACCTATATGCATGTAATACAAGAAACAATACTCGAAGCGTGCAACAAAACTGTCAGAATTTTCTCAACCAGAGCGATTTCCTCAGCTACACCATCTACGGATGCGTGTATATTAATATCACAAATGACTGCCCTGCTCTTCTTGGGATTTATAAAAAAAATTACCATATGTATTCAAATATTCCTATATGCACAGTGTAAACCTTTGGTCTCCTATTGTGGCTCCAACGTATCCCGGGGGCCTAGAACAAATTTGAATTTGCTCTACCTGAAGATGCTTACATATCAATATCATTAATCATGGCATTGCTGTTCTTGAGAAGATTTTTTTCATGTGTATTCCTATGTAAACCTTATAGTGGTACCACCTTCCCTCGGGGGCCATGATTAAATAAGCACAAAGGATGTTTTCATACTTGTTTCATGTTTTCTGGCCTAGCTGATGGCTGGCTCTTCTGTTAAACCCAAAGGCTATTTGAGGTAAATTTGTTGAAATTGGTAAAGTGGTTCTGGAGAAGAAGTTGAAAATGTGGAGAGGTTGCAGACAACACATGACAGACTGACAGACGAACGGACACTGGATTCCTTTAATCATATAACCTAACTTGAGCCTTTGGCTCACATGAGTTAAAAATGTTTACAGCATTATGGAATAAAACGAAATTTTTAATAACTAGTCAGTTTACTTGATGTAAGGGAAATATTTGTTTGCATCTATTTTTTCATATCTCACAGAATGACCAATACTCAGTAATCATGTTTTTTGAAAGGGATAAATCCAAGTTGATTCATTTATATTTTACAGCCCTGTCATGCATCGTCCGGATTACGGTATAAGTGCTGGTACCAGGCTGTTTGACCGAGGGCCTCACAACCCCATCCCCACCCACAATTATCTCAGTGGAGATGGAAAGTCTCTCATCTGGAAAGGCCCCTCCCACTACGTCCCGTCGGAGAGGACCTGGATAGACCAACACCATTACCGATCGTTGCCTAGAGACACAAAACGTGACGCCAAGGAGATGCAGAGCGAGGACCAATGGGTGGACTTCATGAGACAGAGGGACACGCCTTCTGGTAATTTTGTGTTTTGGGTATAGGGAATCTGTTCATTGCAAAAAAGCTGCAAGCAGCGAAAGTAAATTAGTGCAATGTTCTTTTTTGGGTTGTAATCTAATGGAAACTTGAGGGAAAAGGAAATTGGAGGATAGGGAAAATGGAAGCGTAAAACCAATCGGTAATGTCCCCCTTCTTTTCCGGTTCTTTCATCAGTTTATTTCCAGCATTGTTCCCACGGTCACCCATGCTAGGATTGTTAATGTTCTCCATAAACAAAGGACTGAAGTTTAACTTCTCCACTTCATAAAAATAGGTCACCAGGACCTAATGGGAAAATTCCGATGAATATCAATTTGATAATTTAAAAAATACACCAAAAGTGTTATAAAGATGGCTCCGGGGTTTGGTTTAGGTTGGGAGATATACTATATTTTCGTAATAAGTGGACTGTGTAATTACTTAAAAGTATCGTCATGACCACAAAATACAATAATTTACTTTTTATTTCAGGATACTACCACAAAGACATAGGTGTGTTGCAAACTGGAGTACCCGAATGTCGCCTGTTCGGATACACTCGGGATTTACCTAGCATGCCCCCACGAGACCTCCAAGACATCTCCTGGCCGAAATCTGATGCCTTTGTTCCACTAGAAAGAGCTGACCGAGGGAAATATTACGGTTATTATCACGAGGCTATTGAGCGGGAAAGAGAACGAAGAAAGAAGGAGCTTCCCGAAAGTATGAGAGTGGAAGCCAGAGACATTCCGATGTTATAGAAATTTGTGCAATTCCAGGAAGTTAAATATAAATGTGTGTATTTATTCGTGCAGTATTATACCTGTGTAATTATTGTAAACATGTCAAGAATACTTGGACTATTCTCGTATAACTGGATGTTTATCTGGCTTGTTTTGTTGTGTGTTTTTTTTTAAATTTTTTCCTTTTAGTAACATATATTTTTTGTGTTATAAATGTCCCAGCAGGCATTTCAACGTTGATTCAACGTTGAATCAACGTTACACTACGTTGAATTTTAGTTGCATATGAAAGTTGAGCAACGCTGTTTCAACGTCAATTTTCAATGTTGAATAGACGTTGAAAATGGGTTGAACCTTGGTTGATTTATAATTGAATTTTGGTTGCAAACGAAAATTGAGGCAACGTTAAAACTTCAACGTTGTTTCAACGTCAAATATCAACATTGAGACAAGGTTGAACATTAGTTGAAAGTAGGTTGACTTTTGGTTGAAATTTTTTGGTTGTACAAATGTTGATATTTGGTTGAAATATCACGTTGAATTCATATTGAGTTTTGCTTTATAAACAAATACATTTCAAATTCTAATAAAAGTTTTTATTCAAGCTGTGAAATATGTAAGTTGTTATTCAAAGTGAATTTATTTTAAACTGTATTTTAAAGACAAACATAAATCCAGAATCCAATCACCAAATCTCAAAAATCAGTGTTTATCAAAATTTATCTTCCTAGTGAAAAGGGAGTCACAGTAAACATATCCAGGTTCATCATATCACGCATCTGTATAAAACTAAGTTCAACAAAGTGGCGGATCCATTGATTTTTACATCAGGCGCATAGTTAAGTCCCACAAAAGGACTCGTCGGTCGGAAAGAAATGAACAGGATGCTCAATCCTCCAATGAAAAACCTATTAATAAAATATATAATGATGTGTTGTCATTTATTTGATAACGTTATTTCAAATGATAAAAATATACATGAATAATTAACAACAACAACAACAACAAAAAAAAAATACAAAAGTACATGTTCTTATACTTGGAATTAATGAAAAGAATTATATTTGTCCTCGTGTTAAAATTCATAACAGTATGATTATAAATAATTATTTCTGAAGAAAAATGTTAAAAGCATGGAGGTGTACATACAAAATGTTGCATTTCTTTGTAATTTTCACGGGCAAAGGATCTGATCCAATCATGGCATCAGTTACGTCTCAAAGCCGCCAGTGGTTGATGGAACCTTACGGCCAACTGCAATTAAATTGTACATGTATACTTACTATACTATATTTTAAATGTGCAAATGAATATCAACAAAACACATAAATACACAAACCAAGGATGTGCATTTCATGCAGATTAAAAATATGCTTACATATTTACAATTACTTGTAATTGTAATTTAATTAATTACACTGAAAAAATACCATGTAATTTCAATTACTTTTTCAATTACATTCAATTACTTTATATAATACACATTCATAATATATTCATGATATATCGTCACCACTACCTCCCCCTTTTACTGGTTTTTATTTTATTGTTAAAATATCTTCAATCCTTCAATTATACAAAATCTTAGGTTAATGCTTTTAAAAAAAAAAATTAAATGATTGGCTTGATAATAATAAACTAGTTTCTTTCTAATCATTATGTAAATTTTGAATTTTTTGATCTATGTTTATAAACATAAATTTTGAACCACCCTTCTTAGGTCTATTCAGCTATGAAACACACATTTATTATATTTCAATCTTTGTTGTTTGATCAATAATAAAGGAAAAGAAGGTGTGTGTCACTAATTAAGTTCTCTCTTGTTGGGAAGAGATAATTGCCTTCTAGATCACAGCTTTAAATTGCAATCAAAACAAATCGACTCCTCTAAAGAGATATTCATTCCATGATTTAGAAGACAAAGCAAATGGAGATAGTTATTTCAATTTAAAATGCTTCGCTTGCTTTTGAAAAAGAAAAACTTTCAATTTGATAATTATTTTAACATCTAAACAGATTTTTATGAATGAATTTTCTATCTGTACAATTCTGATTTATGAAGTAAAATTGTTCAACATAAATAGCAATTTAGGATGTTCATGTTACCTTCAAAGGAAATATTTAATTTGAGGGGTTACTGTTGCGAATCATTTCACTCTATTAAAATACTCACTTTTAATCAAATATCATAAGCCATGCAATTTGTGTACATGTAGGTTTTGTGTGGTGGAAACTGCATCAAACTGATCTCGGATAGTTCTTTAAGAGATTCTTATTGTTTTGTAAATAAATATAATTAATAAATTAAACCACAATGATACACAATGCCTATAGCATATTATTTCTTGTATTGTTTGTGCAGAGGCTGGGCTTATATACAAATAAATGATGTTCTGTATATTCATTGACAAGGATTATAAAAATTTTCAAAAAAATTAAAAATGTAATTTGTAATTTAATTAATTACTTTTGCAAAGTAATTGTAATTTAATTAATTACATGTCTTAGAAAGCCTGTAATTTAATTGTAATTTAATTGAAGAAAAAGTCAAAGTAATTGTACAATGTAATTTAATTAATTACTTTTTAAAGTAATTGGCCCCATCCCTGTTCACAATTAATTTACAAATTAACTTTTTTTGGAAACATGCGATTGCAGTGGAGAGTTGAATGTAGATGTTATACTTCATTATTAACTCACATTAAACATTTTATTACAGTACTGTAAGCATAATTCTTTTGAAAGAAATTTAAATTAATTAATTCATAATGCATTTCATTTATTGTGAATAATCATATTTTCTAAAACTGCATATATATTGCAAAACATTACATTGTTTTACCGTTAAATAACCCTTTAAGTTACTATTTTGACCTTGAAAAATAAGGTGCTCAATACCCGTTGTTTCAACGTTAAAGTTTCCTCACTTTTTCAACGTTGAAAATATGTTGCATCCTCCACGTTTATTCAACATTGAAATACCGGTATCAACGAACATTCAACGTTGAAAATATGCTGCATTTTAAACATTGTTTCAACCTTAATATAACAGCAAATATTCAACGTTGAAAATATGTTGAATCTTCAACGTTATTTCAACATTGAAATAACACCAAACATTCAACGTTGAAAAAATGTTGAATTTTCAAGATTGTTTGAACGTTGAAATATCGACGAATATTCAACGTTAAAGACATGCTGCAGCTTCAACGTTGTTTCAACATTGAAATAACACCAATCATTCAAAGTTGAAAATATGTTGAATTTTCAACGTTGAAATATTGACGAACATTCAACGTTGTAAAAAGGTTGAGGATTCAACATTGAAACCTCAACGTTGAAGCAACGTTGAACTATAGTTGCTCAACGTTGCAACTTATATTCCACCTACTTTCAACTTTGAAACAACGTTGCGTGCCTGCTGGGGTTATATTCAGAATAGCATACATGTAGCTTTTTGAAAAAAATCACGAAATTTCTATTGTTAGTAATCATGGCATATGATTCGCCAAATATGAAAACCGAAAAAAAGAATTGGGTATCTTAGTGTAGTCTTTTAGTGTGCCAAGTTATTGTAGGAGAAGTACAGTTTTAAAAAAAATCAAAACCAGATCATTGTGGTGGCCACAAAGTTTTTTCATATGAATGTATAGTCTAAAATGGTGATATAAATAGAAACAGGAATCCCCTTCAACCATTGTGCATTCCAGCTATTGTTGTCCAGTTTCTGCAATTATCATCGTAATTTTTTTTTACAGTATACTTACTAATTATATAGCATTGAAAGATCTGGCTTCATATGTATTCTTTAACAGATATGTATTCTTTTTCGAGAAGAACAACACTAGTAAAAACTTGACAATATTATAAAATCTAAACATGAGCAAAACAGTATATATGTGGGTATTTGTGATAAATGGATGTCCCCATATAAAGGTTAAAGTTACATACTGTAAACTATAGATAATTTCATCAGAACGTTGTTACAGTTCTAGCAAGTAGGCCTAGACCATAAAGTTTAATTATAATTAAAAATTACATGTTTCAAAATGGAAGAAATCTTTTTTGTAACATGTATTTAATTAAAACCCAGAACTTCTATTAAATTTCTGGTAGAAACACAGACCTGTAGTCCACGCATTGCAGTCATTTTTTTTTAAAGGACAGCAACTTGTTCCTATATAACCATTTGTAAAACTTTGATCCCCCATTGTGGCCCCACCCTACCATCGGGGTTCATGATTTAAAAAAAAAAATTTACACTACACTACCTGAATTTACATCCATATTAATATGACTAATCAAAGATTTGCTGTTCTTGAGATTTCAAAGTGATCAGTATAGTGTCATAGTGATCACTATAGTAAATCAAAGTTTTTAAAGTGATCACTATAGTGTCATAGTAAATCAAAGTTTTCATAGTGAAAACTATAGTAAATCAAAGTTTTCATAGTGAAAACTATAGTAAATCAAAGTGTCAAAGTTATCACTATAGTAAATCAAAGTTTTCATAGTGTCAAAGTTATCACTATAGTTAACTACAGTAAACTATAGTTAACTATAGTATTTTTTTGTTAGGGTACCTCCAATTTGAGAATTTTTCACTCATATAGAGACGTCACCATATAACGGCGAAGGGCTTCAAATTTAGACCTTTACTCGGAACCCAGGGCCACTGAGCAGTAAGGGCTCTTTATCATGCCAAAGCCTATCGTTATACAGAACCTCGGTTGTCAAGGTCTCATCCGAAAGACCCACAACTTTCATTTCAAAGTACCAAACGCTTGGCGAAGAGAACAGTTGCTACCTATTTTTGTCGACTTTAGTCAGTCGCAGCCGTGATTCACATACGACCTTCCGATCACGGAGCGAGAGCTCTACCGACTGAGTTATTGTGACGGTCTTGTTCTTGAGAAGATGATTTTTAAGATATATACTCCTCTGTAAACGTTCAACCCCCCATTGAGGCCCAGCCCTACCCATTGGGGTTATGAAATGAACAATCTTGAATTTTAACTACCTAAGGGTGCTTCTATATCAATAAAACTAATCATAGCTTTGCTGTTCTTGAGAAGATTTTTAAAATTTTATTCCTATCCCCCATGGTGACTCACCCAACAACCAAGGGTCATGATTTGAATCTACTCTATGCTTA